AGGAGAGAGAGAGAGAGAGAGAGAGAGAGAGAGAGAGAGAGAGAGAGAGAGAGACACTCCTCTCACCAGGAACAAAGGCATAGACCCAGAGGCATCATAGTGTGAATCCACCCTCCCCCCATGATGAAGGTGTTGGCATCGGCTCACACACTCATTGCTCATCGGTTCATTTTCTTTTATGAAAGGTCTGTTCAAATCTTTTGTCCATCTAAAACACATTGGATTGCTTGTTTTTTTTTTAATTATTGAGTTTCAAGAATCCTTTATTTTATATTTGTTCTTTATTAGGTATTTTGGATAGGTCCTGTGTCTTAGGTCCTGTGTCAGACGCATGTACTGTAAATATTTTCTCAGTCTGTGACTTTTGTACTTTTGTCTTAAAAATTTAATACAGTCATTCATTCAGTGCATTTAAGGTGTCCATAATATTTTGATATATTTATCTTGATACACTGGTGTGTAGTGAAATAGTTGAGCAAATGAACACGCCCAGCATCTCGCGTGGTCATCTTTCTTTCTTTCTTTTGGTGATGAGAATACCTGAAATTTGTTCTCTTGGCAGATTCACAGATAGCAATTCGGTCTTGTTAAGCACAACCCTCGTGCTGTGCACGCACTCTCTGGAGTCGCTCATCCCACACTTCTGCAGCACTGCATCCTTCGCCTCCGTCTCCCCGAGTCACCCTCCGCCCTGGCAACCACGCTTCTACTCTGTTCCCACGTGTTGTGAGTGGCAGGATTGCTGCTTCTTTTTACTTTTTAAAATTTATTCCAATTAGTTAAATATGGCGATAGAACGCATTTTGAGACATCACACGTGGAGTGTGACTTCTCATTCTTCTGGTTGTATACATGATGCAGGGTCACACTGGTCGTGCGGTCATCAATGCACACAGGGTAATGATGTCCGATTCACTGTACTCTGCATCCTACCCCCGCACCCCCTTCACTTCCCTCTGCCTAATCCAAAGTCCCTCTGTTCCCCCCTAGCACCCCCGCCTTGTGAATCAGCATCCACATATTAGAGGGAACATTCGGCCTTTGGTTCTCTGGGACTGGTCAGCCCCTTCCAGGCAGATATGCACCGTAGAAGGATCACTGTCCTCTCTCTGCTCTGCAAAAGTGACCTTGTCCAGCAGGTAAAATGACCAGTTGGGGACACCAAGAATTCTCTCTGCTGTGGGTTTGGCAGCCTTTGCTGGTGGCCCCTGGCCTCTCAGATTCACCCTGGCCAGCACTGCGTCACGATTCCCCTCTTCCACCTGCCCCAGATCAAGCAGGTGACGGAGGACCCTGCAGGTCACACACTGCACAGGGTGCCTGGCAGGGAGGAGAGTGTCCTCCCGCCTGTGGCCAGTGAGAGGCTGTCTCCAGAGAGAGGTGCCTTTGCTAACTCCCCTAAAGGGTCTTAGGAGGAGTTAGAAGAATACCCGGGAGTCATCCTTATCTTTTCTGTCCCTTACCTCTCTTCTGAGTTCCCCGAGCTCTGGCCACACAAGTCTCTTTTGTGTCCCAGGAGTACGCCAGGTGAAGTCTGCTTTCTCAGGGAATGGGTCTTGGCTATTTCTCTGCTTGAAACTCTTGCTCTGGATCTTTCTTCCAGAGGTTCAGGTTTCAGTTCAAAAGCCACCTCTTCCAGGAGGCCCTCCCTGATCACCCTCACTTAAGTATCCCTATCATAGCACTTATTTATTTATTTTTTCCGTAGCATTTCTCCATTTTTAATTATTTACTGGTTAGAAGAGGCAATCTGCTGTGGGTCCTGAGCACCCCTGCTTGTCTCCCAGGGGAGGTGAAGGCAAGGCTCTGGTGGGCCTATCCCCCAGGCCATTCCTTGGGACTTTATTTTTTTGGTGAGTGACCTACACAGGATGAATCACATCTGCCCCAGACAAGGGACCACAGTGCTCACTGCTGGTTCTCAGAGCAGCGAATCCCGGGGTTCTGCGTTGGTCTCCTGTAATGCAGCACCCCCTCCCCCACCGTGTGTCTGAGGCCCAGAACAGGAAAGTTCTGGTAAGTACACGAGGCCAGAGGCCCCTCCATGCTCTTGGTCCTGGCAGTGTGACCTGGGAATGGGGACCAGGACGTGTGCGGGCCCCAGACAGCGATTATGCCCAGTCCTGTATATATCATTCATGATGCTAAGAACGGGGATCTGAAGATTAGGAATGTTGTGTTCCTTAAAAGATCCTTGTGCCGAAGGCCACAGCAGGGGTCTTGTCACGGTCCCCATCTGGGACCCAGATGCAGAAGACAAGGGCCACAGAGACCTTGGAGTGGATGCCTGTCCTGCCTGGAAAACCCTGAAAGAATCCATGAGTTTCTTGCTGAGTGATGAACTCGATGAATTATTCAGGGCACATCCAGGGGGTGGACGTGGCCTAGGACTGTCCCTTTTTAATGGACAAGAAAAAAAAATGAGGCAGTGGGACAGCTAAGTGCACAGGAAATCCTGCTGTCCCTGGGGCCTGGCCCACACTGCAGCCTTTGTCTGCTCACACAGGAAGGCTCCTGTCTGACCACTCCCAGGGCCTCCCCCCAGGGCTTCTGAAAAAGAGACTCTGGGCTGCTAGTGCCTGGTGCAGCAGGGGACCTCGTTAAAATGCTGCATCCCCACAAACCAGATTCAGCAGTCTGGATCATACAGCCTCCCCAGGTGGTTCTCGTGCCGGCCCATCTTTCTCCCAGCCAAAATCAAGCCTTCTCTAGGGCTCCCTAGGACTCCACTAGGAAATTGCAATTCCATTCAATTGTTGAACAGGTACTGGCTGGGCACCTGCTCATCTTGCACAGGTTGCCTCTAAACCTCAGCAGACAGGCTCAGAGAGGCTCACCTGTTCAGGTTGCTCAGGGAACATCAGGCAGTGTTAGGATTTTAATCCAGACCCAGATGAATCCAGAGTTCATATATATTCTGTGCTATGGTTTCTGTTCAAGGAACTGACTATATTTTAGTCAGACTAATGCAAAAATACTAACAATTATGAAACAAGGAACAATCAGCTCATGCATTCACAAATAATCCACTTATTCAGTATAGCTTTATGAGCACCTACTATGTGCCAGATACTGAGTGTCTAGAAGGGGTGGCCAGAGCTGTACAGTTTCCACAGTGTAACAAGGAGCTGTCATCTGACAGCTCAAATGGCTGCCCATTTGGGGAGAATGAAGAATTGGGTTTGTGTTTTAGCTTTGCTACTGGATGGCAGATGACATTAGGCAGACTGCTCAATCCCTCAGAGCCAAAGTTCTTAAAATGTAGGAGTGGATGAGGTGGTGGTCCAAGAGCCCAGTGCTGACCCTGGTGCACTGTCAGGTGTCCTGTCCAGGGAAGGACAGAAGGAATGCTAGTTAAAGTCTGTGGGGAGAGGGAGGGAGTCAGGGATTGCTCTTCTGCTGGTGTTTCTTGTACTTTAACAAATGTTCTGCTGGAACAAGTCCACTAGAGGCAGCAGAGTGAGGGGTAGGATGGTTTGTTTGTCCATGAAACATGCCAACACCCAGCAGATGCCTGCATGCACCGGGGATG